TGAATGTGGCGTGAAATCAGTCACAAAGAGGCCGACGCTGGAGAGCGAATGGTTCACGGAGAGAAACAAGATGTCCGACCGGCCTCCTGCTGGGAGTCGGCTGACGGAGACAGTCAAGGTGCGGCGAGGGTGTGATGTCACGCTGGTCATCTGACCTGGTGTGACACGAGGAGGGAATGGAAATGACAAAAGCACCAGCAATGAAATGAAGCCCACGTTCGACCCACATGGGCTGGACTGTTGGTTCCATCCCAGTTTATAACGACAGTGAATCGTTTTACGACTCATTTAATCAAAAAAAGTTGGAGCTAATTTATTTATGACTTACAAACCTCGTCATTTCCAAAACCGTCTTTTCTTATTGAGTTCTTCTCCGTTCTTTTATACAGTCTTTGAAGCAGAGACGTCTTCGAGGACAGACCGGACTGATCTCAGTTTTTTTTTTCTGCGCAGCTGCTAAATCAAACAGAAAATAAATATTTCTTTTTTTTTTATCACCCATGATTCCTGTTTCTCTGTGATAATGAAGAAAAAGCTCAACAAAAAAAATCCCCCAACATTTTATCCTCGATTTATCGGTTCCTTCAAATTGATTTTGATTTAAAATGTTGAAAAAAACCCCAGACTTTGTGCTGTGTTTCTCTGCAGCCTGAGTGACAGCTGGATGCTGGGAGGTCTGAGGGGAGGACGAGGCTTGTCGAGCAGTGAAAGGATGAGTGTGGAGTGGGAAAAGGTCGGGGTGTGTGCTGGGGGTGGGGACAGTGGACTGTGTAAAGCCAATGAATAAATCAGTGGTTAGTAACAGTATTAGAATAAGAGGAGGAGGAGGAGGAGGAGGAGGAGGAGGAGGAGGAGGCAGCTGCATTACTCAGCACACAATGGCCACTCAACAGATGGCAGCGTTTAGTTAAAGAAAGTCAGCGCTTTAGTTAAGCAGCACGCCGCCCACTCATCTGACAGGTGGTCTGATCTCTGTCCGTGTCACGGGGGTGTGTCTGTCTGAGCCGCCGCGCCTCCGCGCCGCCGCCAGGTCGCCTTGATGTTCGCTAGCTTTGAACAGAGCTAGGTATTCGATTTACCCATAATCCTGCTGTGATCGGCGGCCGGAAAAACCTCCATCTGTGGTCTCATTAATGTGTCGTCGTTTTAAGGCGGTCTGGATCAGGACACGGAGACTCGGAGGTTCTTACAAAGAGCGTCTTTATTTTTCTCGGACAAAACAAAAGTTAAAATGTTGAACAGAAAAATAATTCACATTCAAATATTTACTAGTTTAAAAGTATTTAAAATGCTGGGTAAAATTTTTTTCTTGGCATGTACCGCTGCTCTTGTTTTTTTCTTAGCATGTACCGCTGCTCTCTCTTATAGCGCCCCCCTTTGGTGGAGCCAGTTCAGTATTAATGTATCGATATTTGTGTCTAACTCGGTGTGACTTTCACACTCACTGATCCTCTCTAAATCCCTGAATAACATTTGAATGTTTTGCATTGACCGAGTAGCGAATTAGCATTAGCCGTTGCGTGGTTTTATTAGCTTAACAATAAGGGGGACCGAGACTGGACCTGTGCTCCGAGTGCAGGGACACTGAGGACATCCGAGTTAATCACTCTGTGCCGCGTGATGATGTTCCTCAGTGGGACGAAGGCCAAACTTCTGCTCTTCCTCTGAAGGTTGAAGATGAAGCGCCGCTGTTGCTAGGACGGAGGCTAGCCTTAGCTATTGTCTTTGGGAATGCATTATTTTTAAGTGAATTAGCCTCGATGCATGGTGGGACGGCCTGATTTGCAGCTTTGTGGAATCTCATTAAAGACCCTCCCCCTGCTCCCCCTCTCCCCCGCCCCCCCCCCCCACACTGGGCCTTATTTAGGGAACTTTGATTGCTGTGTAGAATTGGATTAAAGGATCATGTCAGAAATAAACGGTTTACACTGTGGACGGTGGCGCTGTTGCTGCTGCTTTGCATGAGGCGGCGGAGTGGACAAGGAGAGGTGAAAGTCAATTAAACATTAAAGCCGCGATTCAAAGGAGAGCAGCTCTGACCTCTGACCTCTGATCTGCAGTCTGTTAAAGAGATCGCTCCGATTACAGGATGTCAGACTCTTATTCTGAAAGGCTTCGTCTTCTGGTGTGAACAAGCAACAAGTCACACTTTGTGAGTTTTTATTGTTGTTACAAAGACGGCTTCATAAAAAAAAAAAAAAAAAAACTGAAACAGGCCTGAAACATTTCTGTCTTTTTATTATGAAAACCACAGTCTGATGTGGATTAGATGTAAATGTAATGAACTTTAAAGTACTTATTTATTTATTATTTATTTATTATTTTTCATTATTAAAACAGATTCTCTCTGCGTGTCTGCGAACAGGAACCAGGATTCACTTGTTACCTGTTCGTATTCTGGTTAAATCGTTGTTGTTCACCATTAGAAAATGAAGTAAAATAAAAAAAAATGATTAATAATATTTAGACAATAACCGTTGGACATTATAGAAAATAAAAAACTGTTCTGGTAATTTTCTATCAGGGAAAATAAACATGAAAAAATAATTTTTGTTTTGAATCTGTTTGTGGTTTAGTGTGAACAAAAATATTTTTGTAAAACAAAAAAAAAAACGTTTTTCTGCATCTAAAAACAACTAATTTAATAAAAATACAAATCAGTCTCAGTGTGAAAATACTCATTAAATACGAGTATTTAATGTCATTATTATTATCACAGTCACTGTGAGGTTACGTGTTTGTGAGTTTGTTTTAGTGGACAAAAAAAATCAACCTTTAGTGGAGAAGGTCAAAAACACATTTTGTTTTTAAAACTATGGTTTATAAAAAAAACTGAGCCAAAAATTAGGACTAAAAAATTAAAAACTTTAATTAACATTAACTGACAAATGAAAAATAAACTTCATTTTGCTTGTTGTAAATAAAATGCCTCTTAGGATTTTTTTTTTTTTTTAGAAAAATACAACTTTTTGGGGGAAATTTTTACCAAATAAATTCCACCTTAAAAGTGTTTAATTCTATATTTGATCTGATATTTAACCCCCCCCCCAGTGAATTGTGTTATTAATGGCTGCAGTCTCTCCACCACTTGACATGTTGCTCCAGCTGTCAGTCCGCAGCCGCCGCCGTACGAGTCTCGGGCCGCCAGAGTGCCAGTGGCGGGTTGACCCATCCGTCACTGTCAGCGGCCGCCCGGTGATGAATGGTTCAGGGATCCACGGGGAGGAGGTGGAGGAGGTGGAGGAGGTGGGCGCAGGGCGTGTGCTCGCTGCACGTGTGTGTACGTGTGTGTGTGTCTGTGTGTGTGTGTGTGAGAGAGAGAACACTAATGATGAATTGACCACAACTGTGGACGTTTAAGGGTTAATGTGACTTTGTTCACCACAGTGTGTGACTCCCGACTCCTCCATTTTGTCCGGCCCTGCCGTCCTCCGTGGTAACACCGTGTCACCAAAAGGAAATCTAAAAAAAAAAAACTCTTGATGAACCAAAATCACTGGTTTTCTCTGTGAGGTTTGGTCTGTTGGAAACAAAGGAAGATTTTTTAAAATTTTCAATCTTCTTCTTTTTCTTTCGGCTTTGTCCCTTGTTTTCAGTAGTTGCTACAGCAAATGATTGATTTCCATCTGTCCCTGTTCTCTGCATCTCCTACTCTGACTCCAACTATCTGCATGTCCTCCCTCACTGCATCCATATATCTCCTCTTTGACCTTCCTCTCTTTCTCCTACCTGGTAGCTCCATCTCTAACATTCTTCTACCAATGTATCCACTGTCCCTCCTCTGCACATGTCCAAACCATCTCAATGTTCAATCATTAATATAATATGACACAATAGTTTGATTGTGTTGAACCTCAACACCAGCTCTGATGAAGGTTTGATGTTTGATGTTGAAGCAGGAAGTGAATTTGACCTCGGGGTCATTTTAACGTTGAGCTTTTTGTCCTGCGGACGCTTTGACTGTTCTGCTACTTTAGCGTAGCTAAGCTAGGCTTTGACTTTTAAGATTCTAACTCAAATTAACAAGTTATATTTTAGTAGCTGTCCTGTTGGCTAACTTTTAGCTGTTTTTGTTTGGCCAAGTTTTGTTGACTTTTGCTGTCCTCTCTAGCTAAACCTCAAGTTAGCGTTTAGCTCATTTTTATATTTAATTAGTTGGTAAATTGATGTTAGCATTTTAGAATCACAAGCGTTGAAGGTTTCATTAGCTGCGTGGCCACACGACCTCACAGTTATCAAATCTCCAGCACTAACCTGACAGTAGGAGGTCACGTGACTCTGACCCGCCGTCTGTCCTCTTCACTCACACAAACAATTAGCGGCCAATGCTAAGGCCGCTAATGTAATTCTTATGTAATCGTGTCACTAATTATGGCTTTAATTCTGTTATTAGCAGCTAACGGTTCCTCAGCGCTAAAAGCTAATTCAGCCGAGGACGAATTAGAAGAATTTAATTAAGAAGAAACGGCGTGCGGAGAAAACACTAATGTCGCTAATTCTGTTAGCTGTGTGTGTGTGTGTGTGTGTGTGTGTGTAACATCTGTTCTCCAGCAGCAGCAGGACTAACCTCTGTGACCTTCTCACAGTGGGAAGAGTGTGTGTGTGTGTGTGTGTTTCTTGGATGAGTTAAAGGTAAAGGTTAGTTAATTTGTTCTATTGTAGTGTCACATCTGAACACTCCCTGTGGTACATATGTCTGGCCTCTATGTGGCGCTGTGTCAGTCACATCTGCACCTGAACACTCCCTGTGGTACATGTGTCTGGCCTGTATGTGGCGCTGTGTCAGTCACGCTCTAACATACTGTACAGTCATGATCTGTTCACGTTGTAATGAAGGGGTTAATTAGGGTTAGTGTTACGTGGTACCAGGAACATTAGTACCTGGTACCAGGATCAGGACCAGGATCCTGGAAAGGTCTGTGGAAGAACCTGAACCTCAGGTTTAGATCAGATGGACCAGATCTGTGGACCTTCACCTTCTACTGTTTCCTCCCTGTCAGGGCCGTAGAGGGCGCTGCTGCCAACCCCAGGATCATCTGGACAAACACGGGACATCAAACCAAGGACCGACTCAGTCCAAGGTAAGAAACTCAGACCCTCCTGCCCCGTCCTCCCGCCCCGTCCTCCTGCCCCGTCCTCCTGCCCT